TCTTGTGTTTTTTTTTGGGGAAGAGAAAAAAAAAAAAAAAAAAAAAAAAAAAAAAGATTTCTGCCAAAAATCTCAGAAATTTTCTAGAAAATTCTTGGACATTTCTGAGTTTGAAATGATGAAGGAGACATTAAGATTAATCTCAGAAATTTTCTAGCAAAAAATATGGAAATTTCTGACTGTCAAAAGTTGAAAATGTGCTTGAGAAAATGAACTTTGAGATTAAGCTCTGATATTTCCTAGAAAAAAACTGGAAATTTCTAAGTCCAAAGTCAAAAATATCTTAATTTTGAATCTAAACATTTTTCCAAAAGTTGAATATAGTCTAAATAAATTTATTTTTGCAACCTAAAAATGTTCTTGTTTTTCTAGGAAATCTCTGAGTTTCATCTAAACATTTCTGATTTATTTTGGCAGAATTTTTTCCATTATTTATTTTATTACAATGGCCGCCGTCGTATTCTTCATTTGTGTTTTATAAAAAATAGAATAAAATGTTAAAGACAATTCAGCTACTAAAATAGGTGACTTTTAGTACAGTAGAATTTTAACAAAACTAAAGCATTATGTTGTAAAGTATTTATTTTTAAGCTAAATAACCCGTTTAGCCGACTGACCTTTTCACCGGCATGAAAAGGAAGTGACGTCATATTAGGAAGTGAAGCCCGTCTCTGTCCCGACAGCAATGCGCTGCTCCTGCTACAACAACAACTGACATTTGCGGCCTGCTGAGCCGCAGAGTGCAGCGGGTTAATGTATCTGCGGACAGGTCGTGTGTGCGCTGAAGCCCCGGATGTGTGTGTGGAGTCGGCGGAAATGACCCTGAGGTAAGCGGCTTGCTGTTGGGCTGAGGGCGGCTGTGATGCTCGGTTCTTATTAGCAATAAGCTAACGTTACCCTGCTGCTGCCCAACTACGATAAATCTGGGTTAAACTTCGTAATTTTGGGATTTGTAAGTTACTTTCATATGTTTTACTATCGCAGGAGTTTGTTTAAAAAGCTTTGTTGAGACAGTTGTCTTTTAAAGGGAGAGTACTCGGTTAAAGGGATTATCCTGTTTATGTCAGTTATTCGGCTACAAAACGGCTGTAATTCATTCATGTTTCATTGTAACTCGCAGTGTTATTTGGCAGGAGTTCTCAAGCTTCGGAGTAAAATCCTAAAAATCTGGATGAAAGGAAAGATTCATAATAGTGAGGAGAAAATCCCTTTTATTGAAGAGATTTATGCAACTTCAACTGAAATGAGTTAGCAGAAATGACAGTAAATCGTAATGAAGTATCTCATTTATTTAAAAGTAATAACCAGTTGAATAAATTAGAAATCCTAAGTTGAAGGCGGTGTGTCATCACAACAAATGAGACTAAAGGTACTTAGAAAACAATCCCAGCCTATATCAGAATTTCATAATTAAAAATGTAAATGTAATTGAAAAACAATGAAATAGCATTGTTGTAAAAAGTATACAATTTTACACTCTGATGGCTTGATTAATGTTTCTTTGTAATAACTTACATGTGGTAATAACCTCGCCCCAGAGATTAACAGTCAGATGATCTCAAAGCACAAGTCAGAACAACAAAACGGAGAAGTTAAATATCATTTAGATCTTTGTTTCTCATTTATAGGACACCAGATTTGGAAGAATAGTCCAACAATTGATCAGAATCAAAACTACACTGCCCAGCCTTTTTTTTTTTATTGTTTTCATTTCTTCATCCTTAGATGTATCAATCTGTCAGACATTTATATATAAAAAAACATGCCAGTTTCGATCAGTTCTGATCAGAAATCAGTTAATATTCCTTCACTTAGTTTCTGTTTTCTCATTGTACATTTCCTTATGTTGATGAATAACTGATTATTGACAGTTTTTCTCTATTGGATTTGTGTCGTAACCAATGAAGTTTGTGCTTAATTAACACACATTTTGTTTTGTAGCTCAAATTGTCTTATGTGTGACATCATCAAAATTACAATGGAAAAACCTTTTTGTTATGTATAAAGTATCAACAAACACCATATTCTTTGGTTTGAGTTTGGTAAATATCAGAATATTTTATGTATAAACTATGATAATCTCATAATCCCTTTCAGTCCAGTTCAAAGCTACTGTCTCTGTCAAGAATAATAGCATTTTGGATGGTCAGTATTTGTAAGATATGATTGACAGAAGTTTAGGAAAACTTGTCTATTTTTAGGATTAAATATTTGCTACTGCTATAAAGTAATTACATTTTTGAAGGTTTTAATTTTTTTTAAATCTGAATTTTCTTTTCACCAGTGAAATAAAAAATTACCATCATTTTTGATGAGCCTGTATATTTTTTAAAATGTTTTATTATTTTTGCAGCTTGTATTTATTTCAACTTTATTCAGACTAACCGACAAAAGGAATGATAGAAATAAATCCTATTTGTTTTTAGTTATGTCATTTGTGTTGTATATAAGGAAAAAAATGGTTTGAAATCAAATTTAGCATAAAAAAACAAGAGATTTTAAGCCATGTCGCCCAGCCTTATTAATGACTCCTTGCATCCTTATTGTTTACATCCAGAAATTTCAGTCTTTTGCAAAATTCTGGAGGGCAAAAAGACGATTCTTTTGCATGCCATCCTATCAGAGCCGTTGGGGAGAACAATCCCGTTAATTAAATGAAACCTGAGATGTAGGTATTATTAATTTAGTGCACTGCCCCACAGCAAAGGAAAAAATAATGCAGAAAAACCATTAAATAACAAATCAGTGCCACTTGTATTCTTCTTTTTTTCCTCCTTCTGTGTGTCGGCTATGCTACGCACAGACTTGTTGCCATAGCAACTGACAACAACGTCGCTAACTTATCAGGATTCAACACCAAAAGACACTCAAACATTTTCCACACAAAAAACAGAACATTCAGTCTGTTACAGTTTTATGTTGTCAGGCTTGATGTTTATTTTGTGATTATTAAGAAGTGATTGCTGTGGTAGATTAGCTAGCGCTGCTATTAGCTAAGCTAACACTGAGGTGATTGATTAGCTAATTTAAACACCTGCTCTACTAATGATCTACCAGAGTTGGGGTTTAGGTCACCTTTTTAATTTTTTTTTTTACTGAACCAAAACTCACTGAATTCCACATCATATCTACGGTAAGGTTGTCATAGTCAAGCTAGCACAGCTGAACTACTTCTCTCTCCCTTGTTATTTTTTTCTTAATTAAAACTTTTTCCTTACCTTCTCTCGTTGTTGTAGTGTTAGCAAAAAGCACTGCGTCCCTTTTTCTTTTATATATCAGGCATACATTTAAGATTTAATGCGTTTTTTTTTTTTGACAATTTAATAGCTAAAACCAATGCTAGTCATCGGCCTGCAGCTTTTTGCCTCCAGCAGCGAGTTGGGGGTGGGATCTTACCCGCATGATGTTATGCTGCTTTGGTTTTATACATTGCAGCCTTAGAAGTTTTTAAATTTGGCTAAAATAATTAACAGACCTATTAGGTGATGTTTTCCTGAGTCATGTTTTGGATCTGGGAAATGTTCTGATGCTGCTCCGCTTCTGTCTGTTGCAGATGACTCAGCAGTGGCTTGGACATCGATGATTCAACAGAAGATGAGGCGTGCTCTGTTTGTCCGACTCGTCATCGCTTGTTACCATAGCTACATAAACCACACTGACATGGACACTGCACTATAGTAAATCATGCTGTTTGCAAACTGAAGTCACTAAAATACGTTTTTGTCTAAATTATTATCATTACTATTATTTTGAATGGGTTTTTGCTAGTTTTCTGTGATAAAATGTCCCTGGCTGAGCAGTCTCAGAAGTGGTTTCCAACCCATGTCCAAGCCACCGTTCTTCAGGCGTCCGGTTTACAGCCCAAAGGCAAAAATGGCACCAACGACGCCTACACCATCATCCAGCTGGGGAAGGAGAAGTACTCCACGTCGGTGGTGGAGAAGACGGCCGACCCCGTCTGGAGGGAGGAGGCGTCCTTCGAGCTGCCCGGTCTGCTTCTGGAGGGGAACCCTGAAGTGTACGTGCTGTCGCTCACAGTGATGCACCGCTCCTTAGTGGGGATGGACAAATTCCTGGGCCAGAAGACCATCAACCTCAACGAAATGTTTGATAACAAGCAACGAAAGAAAACCGAGTGAGTACGGCCTCTGCTGTTGAAATGTTGGCTTCTCTCTAGCTGCTGGAGGATTCAGGCGAAACTAAGTGGTACAAGACTGTTTTAAACGATCAGTACCAGAATCAACTCAACGGTACCGTCTGGGGTCGTCTTGTCTTCTGTAGCCCCAGAGAACCAGCTTAAAAAAATTACAGGCTATTTCTACTTTTTGAGCACAGTTTGTAAAAATGTATAAAACCCTTAAGGAGGTGGTATTTTGTGTTTTCCAGGCACATAGTGCCATTTTACAGCTAATGTTACCTTCAGGTGTTATAAAACTGCTATTGGCCATTTGCAGCTACCTTACTTCATCACTTGAGGCGCCATGATGGATGTATTGAAAAGAGCGACTGAAATTGTTTTCCAGTTCATACAGAATACATGAAACTAAACATAAACATGTTTATTTATTGTTTAAATAGAAGAGTCGACAGTCTACCTTGCTAAAAATAGAAAGCAATGAGTTAATTAGACTGTAAGAAGCGGCTCCGCCTTGCGCTGCTGGAGCTGCAGAGATTCCATCCTTTCTATCAGCCATCCCAGAAGTTTTGCTCTTGACTCATCCTGAGTCCAAACGGAGCTGGAAGATGTCAAAGGAAGCTGGGAGAAGATGGGCTGCTTATTCGAACGGTTCTCTAAAAACAAAGCAGTAAAATCTTCATTAAAATACGTTGGGTTAGGGCTCGAGCCTCTAAAGTTAATCAGTCGGGTTGGGTCAGATTTAATGGACTCGGTCCGATCTAAACTTCAGTGCAGATTTTTTGTCTAGGTGTGAACCTGGAGGACGTTGTGAAGCTGATTAATTTAATCGTTCTGTCAGTGGTTTTTATCACTGCGGAGAAAAAGTTTGATAAGTCCATCTGCTTCATTAATGTGTGATGATCTGGATTGTTTGTTGAACTTTGAATATTAATTAACCTACATAAAAACTAAATGTAACAGAAAAACCCATGTTAATATCATGTAGATTGACAGATAAAAATAGAATATGACGGAATATTTTTGACGCCGTCAGTCAAAATGACGGACAGAAAAGTCTCTGCTTGAATCTTCTCCTAATTCCTGGTTTCTGATGTTTTTAGTTTATTTTATCTTGAGAGGAACGTGCCGATGTTTCTCCTCCAGTCACAAGGCCTCAGCCTGAACTAAATCAGTTTTTGAGTCACATTTGCCGCATGTGTTGGAGCTATTTCAGATTTCCCCGCCTGCTTTATTCCGTCCTTTAATAAGTTCATGACCCCGCTTCTTTTCACCATGTGGCATAAACACTGCCACTTTGCCTTTTATATTCGTCACACACTTGTTTTACAGCTTCGTCTTATTTTGAACATCTGTTTAAAGTCGTTTATAGCTCAGCATGTTTTTAACAGCAGTTGGTGGTTTTAACTTCTGTTCCACCTCTCTGACAGTTGATTGCCCATTGTTTAGAGATTATATGTCGCCTAATAAGTGACAGTTGTCAGTGAGTCACTTGGAGGCCCAATTGAAACAAGCGGAGCTGGACAAACATGTTTAGGTAGTCACTCCCAGCGGAGCCATTTTTTTGTTTTTGTGTGAAAAAATGCAGCCGTGTTTGTTCTCTGCAGCCTGAAGCGCCGCCGTTTGTTTCAGCTTTCTGAGTCAGTGAAGGTCCTCTGGGTTTTTCTGCTGCCGTTTGAGAAACACTTTGACTCGCAGGTCAAAACCTGAAAGATTTCTGTTAAACATTTTTTAGTCACCTTATAGTTTTATGTTCTGTACAAAAGCAAAACAGTTTAACAACTGATGTTTTGATGCAGATTCTGTTTCTGTTTCTTTCTTTGTTTCTGTCTTTTTTCTTTCAACCTTTCTTGTTTATCTTTTTATCTCTTTTTGTCTCTTCCTTTCTTTTCATAAATTTTTTTCTGACTTTTTCTTTCTCTTTTTTTCTTATCTGTAACTTCCTTTCTTTCTTCATTCCTTTCTGTATTTCTTTTGATCTTTACATCTTTTTCTCTGTGTTTGTCTTTGTTTCTGTATCTTTTTGCTCTTATTTCTTTTAACTGTTTCGTTTTTCTTTATCCTGTTATTAATCTATTTCTTTATCTCTTTCTTTATGGAGAAACTGCGGCTCTACTCTGATTCCCTCCAGGATGTTAGCGCTAGTGTAGCATGTTTGTTTTGCTTGTATTTACCCAGAATGCCCTGCGCTGTAGTCCACTTCCTGCTTTTGGAACGGTCTCCGATCCGCTTGGCGTTCACATATGCAAACCGGAGTTCATTTCAACCAAACCCAAACTGAGGTCTTTAGGCGGATCAGAGTTCAGTTCTTTGGTCCAAATGAACCGGACTTTCTAAACAAATCCAACTTCTCAAGGAAATTTTGAATTTAAACAAAGTTTAATCCAACAGATAGGTCCAGCATTAACGTCTTCAGGGCAGAACTTGATGGGTTAATCTGTGCTCACCCAACCAGAGGATGAAGGTCTGACATCATCTTCCTCGCTCTGCGGGACTGGATCTGGTGTTAATTAGATCACCGCCTGTCCCATCATGGAAAGGCATTAGCACACTTCCTCCCCGTCCGTCAGTAGCCAGAATCACGATATGTTACAATCAGCGTTCCTGGCTGGTATTTATTTAGGTGTCTGCAGTGATGCACCTCCAGGCTCTGCAGCTTTTCAGCAGCGGTTCTGTAATGATCCCCGTTGGTACCACGGCTCCACACAGCGGGCCTGTGTTCGGCACAGCCGCCTCGGACCCGACACGCTGAGGAGGAAAAACGCGGTTTGGTATCCGTTAATTATCGCACGCCTGTGTTTGTGACGAGTTTGGAGATCTGAGACCCTGAGGCGGTGGCAGCAGCATGCTGTGGGTGGGAACCAAACCCAGTCAGGGTTCTAATAGTTCTTGGGTTTATTATAGGCTAGTTGGTGCCACTTTACAATGATTCTTCCCTCATTATAAAGTGACTGAATTAGTCAAATAAAAGGTCACAACTAAATAAAACTAAATGGTACAACAAGGCTCCCCTTATGGATGACTAGTAGTTTATAGATATGTTATTCATTTACATATAAACACTTTATAAATCATTAATAACTATTATACATTAATTAAGGCTTAGAAGAAAACAATAAGCTGAAAATTATATTTACAAATGCTTCTTGTGAAATGTTTTGTATAACAACTCTAAATAAGATATATAGGTGAACAGTAGATTTAGCCTCCTCACCCTTAATTAATGTATAATAAACAGTTATTAATGATTTATAAAGTGTTTATATGTAAATGAATAATATATCTATAAACTATTAGTCATCCATAAGGGGAGCCTTGTTGTACCATTTAGTTGTGACCTTTTATTTGTCTAATTCAGTCAGTTTTAATTAGTTTTTGGAGTGTGTTTGCAGGTAATTATTAGTTAAATATTGTTTAGATTTAGCCCATCAGACCGTCAGTTCCTGAAACTACACACACACATACTGATCTACCCGGACCAAGTTAAAAAACATCTCTTAGGATCGGCGGATGGTTTAAAAAGGAATTTAATTATTTGTTTTAATTTATTTCTAAAATGGTAGGAAATAAGCTTTGGTACTTAAATTGAAAACCTGCATAATGTGCCAATTTTTTAAAATTTGATTATCAAAATTATCGATTACTTAAATAATCTTGTAGACTTGATACAGAAAAATGACTCTTCTTCTTTGAAACGAGTTAAAAGGCCTTTTGTGATTAATTTATCTCTTTACGCCTTCAAGATTTTTAGTTTTTCTTGCTCTAAGAAAAGCCTGGAAATATTAAACTGTGAAACTATTGAATATTGAGGATTAACTCACATTTTCTCACTTTTTTTCATCCCAACATTGTACCCAGGACTGTAATATTGCACACATTTAAAGTGCGATGACATTTGCGGCTTTAAATATTATCTCTACTGTAAAATGTGACACATTCATGTAGAAAACAGACAGAAAACCTTTCTAAACGGCGGTTTGGTCCTGAGGCGTGCTAATGAACAAGGATACGTCTCATTAGCATGGATGAACTCCTGTGCTGCCCTGTCATGTGGCTTTGCAGTTTCCCACTTGCTTGTCGTTGCATTTCTGAACAAAGGCCAGATTTGTGCAAATGCCACACTTTTTCCCCTCCTAGTGAAGGAAAAAAAAATCCCATTATTTCCAGTTGAAAAAGCAGAAGGGTTAAACAAATAGGAGCCTAGAATGGCCTTTTATTATTCTTCAGGAGGCTATTTCTTCTGTTCGAATTTCAAAGAATAATGTTTATCCTTTTAAAAGATAAATGGCGCCTCTCGGTTGTGTCAAAAAAAAAAACTTGAAGTGATTTAACCTTTTGGATTATTCAGCTCAAATTAGGCTTTTCATTTGTGTCTATTAAGGAGCAGGGGAAGCATATTATTTCATTTATTGTTGTTTGGTCGCATAAAGACTTGTACCACATTCTTATTTTGTCTGCACGTCTCCCTGAATTATGTGTGATCAACTGAAAGGATTTGTTGTTGGAGCTGCAGTGCGTTAATCCCGCGCCTTTTCTGTAAATTCTGTCACTGAATTTGCTGAGCTTAAGCTTCTCGCTCTCCGACTGCAGCTGGTTCTCCTTGGAGTCCAAACCAGGGAAGAAGAAGAAGGACCGGGGTCGGATCGAGGTCAGCATCCAGTTCATGAGGAACAACATGACGGCCAGCATGTTCGACCTCTCCATGAAGGAGAAGCCGCGCTCGCCCTTCTCCAAGCTGAAGAACAAGGTGAAAGGTCGCAAAAACGACGGCGGGGGCGTCTACGGCGACACGTCTTCGGCCATCTTGCCCCGCTCTGCCGTGTGCGACGCGGAGCCGAGCGGCCGGCCGGCGGAGACGAAGCCGGAGACGAAGGTGAAGCGGTCTCTGCTGTCCGGGGGCCAGAAGCTGTCAGCGGCCCACTCCATGTCCGACCTCATCGGGAACCACTTCCGACCCAAACTGGACTCCATGAACTCCATCGAAGAGAGCGGTGAGCAGCCTGAGGTCAACACTGACATGCTAACATATCTGGAAAATTACATTTACATCATGTTAGCAGTACTTTGCATTTGGAAAACAACCAATCCTGAAGCACCATTCATTTATCTGCCTGCTGATTGGCTGAAATGAGCCTGTAGATCAGGGGTCCCCAAACGTTTTCCTGTGAGGGCCACATAACTTTTCCCTTCTCTGGTGGCGGCCGGAGTCAGTTTGTAACAGAAAAAGGGTGACGGTTGCAGGAGTGCCTAAATGTTCTCCAGAAAGCACAACCAAATAACCCTCTCTGGGTTCTTCACAGAATAAATCCAGGAAGGATTATAGTCCGTATTTTCCGGACTATAAGCCACAACCCCAAAGTTTTTTTTTTAAAACAACCCAGTAAACATACACATATAAGCCGCAGATATCTCTGCCGCTCCAGGTTTTCCACAGCGATGCAGCAGCAAAGGGGGGTGGACAGCCAACATTTGAGTCATAACAGGTCAATTGAATATCACATTTATTGCGGTTGAAAAAGAAAAAGTTGCCAAGTTTAGATTTAAATGAACTGATTACGGTAGTTTCCGAACGGAAACTGTAACAGTAAAAGTGCTGATCCTTCGTGTTGCTACTAGCATGTGCTAAATGGGAATGGGCGCCGCCTTCTTCTTCTTCTTCTTCTGCTGCTGCTGCTGCTGCTTCTTCTTCTGCTTCTTCTTCTTCTCTATATTTCAACGGCAGCTTGCATCAATTATTGTTGCACTACTGCCATCTATTGGATCCTAATACCTCAAATTCTCATAATAATCCCAGTATCATTTTAAAAAATGAAAAATCTTCTTTTTCCTCTCAATGCTGTTTAACTGATCAACAACATTCTCAAATTTTAAAACCTAATTCCATTTTAATGGGCGCTTTCTTCTTTTATTTCCAATTTTGACTTCCAATGATTCACTTCCTGCTAAAGAGCCCCCTGGTGGTTGAAGAAAAATCCACATATAAACGGCCTATAGTCCGGAAAATACGGTATATAAAAAGAAATCTAAATGCTCTCTGGTATTGTTCAGGGGGCCGGACCAAATGTGGAGGCGGGCCGGATCCGGTCCGCGGGCCGTAGTTTGGGGACCACTGTTGTAGATGTTAGGTTCTGCGATGGATGGATGAATGAATGAATGATTACACTTCATTGATCCCTAAGGGGAAATTGCTACTCTATCCAAGATGTTAATTATTAATAATACATATATAACCTTTTAATATAAATTAAAATATAGTGTGATGTAAATTACTTGCATCACACTATAATTCAGTGTAATGTAAGTAATTTAACTACGACTGAATATAAATACAATCTACCAAGCATCTATAAATGAATCCAGAAAAATTACATTTGGTTCTCAGAGTTGGACATTGTAAAGTCTGAAGGCTAAAGGCAAAACTGATTTATTTAGTTATTTAGCTTTTGAGCTATTAAATATGCAGTTATGTGTGTTTTTAGAGGGTCTCTGTGGTCTAATAGTTCATTTTATTTATGAGCTATTCACAACAGATTTCATCCTTATGTGCTTCTTTTGTAAAGTGTTTATATAAAAAATTCTCTTTGTTAATTTCAGTTAAGTACTTATAGAAATTTTAATGTGTTAAACATTTTAACACAATTAATCACTTGTCTTTTATTTCATACAAAGCTCCGGAGCCGGAACCTTTGTATTGTGTTTCTTGTACGGCTGTAAATCTGACGGACGAGAAACATCCGCTAACACAGCGCCTTCATGTCTAAAGGAGGATTTTTTTAACAGGTTTCATGAAAACTTAATGAGTGTAAATGCATTTTGTACCAAAATAAAAACGATAAATATCTTTGTTGTTGCGCTCATACGCTTAATCAATTATTTAGCAACAAAAGGTTGTTTTTTTAAATGGGAAATATTAATTATTTTTAATTAAACTATGATTAATTTCAAGCCCTGTCAAAAAATGTAATCAAGTACCACCACTAAAATATATTTTTTCTACATAAAATGTAACAAATCTATTGTAAAATTCAAGAACAGCACAGAAAAAAATGGCAAATTTTGCAATAACCTTGTAGCCTAAATGTGGACTCATTGATGTTCTGAGGCACCTTTTGATTCACACCTGTTCAGTACACAGGTGGCCATTTTAGCTACAGTTTCCATTATGCATTTCCTCCAGTATCAATAACTTTACAAAATCTAGAACAAGAAACTCAACATTTATCCAGAACTACTGAGAAACGGGTTGGAGGCTGGGAAACGTAACTGTGAAGGCCTTTGGGTTCGGGGTCCAACATCTGGACCGGGCTGAAAAATCTCCCACAACCTTTCAGGAGGACGTGTTCCAGTCTAACGAAACCAAACTGGAACTTTCTGGGCCACCTTTTCACAACACACCTTGGGCCCAAAAACAGAGAGAACGACCCGACCCGAGTGAAAGATGCTTCATGTGGGACAAACATCCAAACATGGAGGGATCCATGAGAGGAATGCAGAGCTTTGGAACGGCATTGGCTGATCGGAAAGGAGATTTCCTCACAATCTGGTCGCTTTGGAAAACATCTGCAGGCAAAATGTGGGAAACTAGCAGCAAACACTGAGTTATGAATATGAATCAAAAGGTGCATCAGCATAGTTTAGGGTCGTAGAGACGGGATGATAATTATGGGTTGAAAAAGGGTTAATAACTATTTAAATTTGCTTACATCAGCAAAACTTGGCATTATAACAGAGGCTTAAACGATTGAGATCTTCTTTATGGACAGCTGCGTTTAACACAGGGCTGAAACCAACAGTTATTTTAGTAATTGGTAAATTTATTGATTTTTTTCCCCAGACAATCAGATTAAAAAATTACATTCTACATATTTTCTTTTAACCATCTTGTAAAAGAAAGTCATATTTAAACATTAAAAATAAATTAAAAGATGCAAATAAACAAAAAATTCAATGAAAAAATAAACATTTTATTGTTTAAAATGCAGCATAGCATTCCTTTAGTAAATATAATCAATTAATTACATTTGATCCAATTAATCGTTTCAGCCCTACACTTACACGTCTCTTTTACATTAGAAATGCATCTAAAGATGCAAATAAACAAATCAATTTCTTTTTAAATAAAGTATTTTACCTAAATTAGTTAATGATTATTTCAATAATCAGTGATTGATGATTAATCTGAATAATCATTTCAACCCAGTACTTACACCTTTCTTGTATGTTATAAATACATCTAAAAATGAAAATAAACAATTACATTTCTTTTTTAAAAGAAAAACTATTGATTGTCTAAATTAGTTAAAAGTTGTTTCAATCACTGATTAATTTGATTAATCGTTGGAGCCTTTATGACGTAAAGCACTTCGATCTGCCTTGTTGCTGAAATGTTCTGTACAGATAAACTTCATCTGATGAAGCCTTTCTTGTACGTTAGAAATACATTTAAAGATGCAAATAAACAACTAATTAAATACATTTTTAAAATAAGAAAATATACATTTATTCCCTAAAATTTTATTTCTTTAGTTCATCTGAACAATAACAATTAGTCACGATTAATCAGATTCATCGTTTCAGCCCTACACTTATGCCTTTCTTGTACATTTAAATAGATTTAACGATGCAAATAAACAACCAAATTCATTTTTAAATAAGAAAATAAACGTTTTATTGCCTAAAATACAACAACATAGCATTCCTTTAGTACATCTGAATAATAATCAATTAATCCGATTAATCATTTCAGCATTAGTTTATTATTAAACTGTGCTGTTTAAAAAGTTACTGTTTTACTGCAGCTGGCCTCTCAGCACAGTGAAGCAGCAGCAGCAGCAGTTTGAGTTTTCTAACGAGGCTCTTTGTCCCGTTTATCGCAGCAGCGGCTTGAAGTTGTTTTTCCTCCTCTTGCAGGAAGTACAGGTGGCCCTCACCGGCGTTCCCAGAGCGAGGTGCCTGGATACCAGGACGGAGAAGCACACAGTGACCCTTTCACTGATATCAGTGACACGCTGCCACAGAAGTATGCCACGCTCCCACGCAACCGCAACCCGTTTGAGGGCGAGCGGGGGCAGCAGCCGTGGGAGCGGGCGGAGCGGAGGGAGAAAAAGGAGAAGGTCAGCCTGCTGGAACGTGTGACGGGGAAGAAGGAGGGCCGCAGGGCCGGCAACGGGGGCCGGTCGGGGAGCTCTGGAGACCTGCGCTCTCCCAACCCGTTCAGCGCCGACGCCGCGGCCGACACCAACCCGTTCAGCTTTGGCTACAAAACCAGGTAGTTGGGCTTCGTCAGAGAGTTGTGGTTTATCTGAGAGGAAGGTGTCATTAGCGGCTCTTTAGAGTAGCAAAGCCCTTTGAGCCGCAGTAATGAGATCCTCTGCTGAGATACAGCGCCCAATTAACCACTTATCTCCGCTGGTCCATCGTCTTCTGCTGCCAGGCGCGCCCGCGCCGGTCACAGCTGTGTACAAACCGCACAGATGTTTAATTACTTCATCTAAGAAGCCTTCTGGCGCGGCTCGATTTTATCGATTTGATCACATTTTTGAAGATTTAGGTTTTGGGAAATCTGGATTTTTGTTTTTCTACCATTGAACTCCTTTGGTTTCCACAGTTCATGATGAAGTCAGCAAACACAGGGAGGCACGGGAGAGGATCACACTGAAAAAAATGAAATGTTGAGCAACCTGTGAAGCTATACCTTGGTATAAGTTTTACAAATAATCGTTAATGCTCAGAAGAAATACTTAATCTTTTATCACATTTGTATTAAATTGTTGCCAATAGCAGGACTTTGAAACAATTGTGCACAATTATGGAGAAGGATTGTATTTTAAATCAAGAGCAAAACGAATAAAAACAAACAATATGTTACGCAAACAAGTCTGAAAACAAAAACAACTTTAGTAATGAGACCTTTCAGTTTCAGTTCAGTAAACAAACAAAAACCCAAAATGTTCAAAAGGTGGAGTCCATAATCTATTGCCTATTTTTGGATTATCTAATTAATAATTGAACAACAAAAGGTGCTTCAGGTTCTAGTTAGAACATATTTACAGACAAAAAATATTTTTCATCTGAAAAGAATCAAAATGTTTATATGAATTGTACAGTTTTAGGTTAAATGCTGCTCCAAATATGTTATTTCTGTTAGTTGATTAATAAACTGCAGTTATTAAAAACAACAACAGAAAATGTTTTTCCCATTTGATAATTAATGTTCCTCTGTTATTTCAGTGACAACAAGCACAGGGGAAGCGAGGACGGCCTCTTTGGGCAGAAGAAGAAGAAGGACATTTTCGGCAAGAAAAACGTAAGAACAACAACTTCTTCACCGGTTTCCAGTGACATTATTGCAAAAATGTCAGCTTCACCTGACAGCGGCTGTCATAAATGATCCCAGTAAATGAGAACTCTGAGTTTCGCTCAGCACCGCAGCAGCAGCAGCTGACACGGATCAGCAAGGCCTCCGAACGCTCAGCCGCGCCATTCGGCTAATTAGCAGCTGCACCCGTCGGTCAGCGCGTCCGATCGGATCGTCATTGGAAGTGGTGTTAAATTTCAGGGCCGGGCGGTCATTTTCATTCTCTAATTGCACCATTTTTGTTGTGACAGTGAATGGAAATGACATGTGTATCCCTTTAAATAGTTACTACATTTGAAGCTCAAGCTAGTTCTCTGGTTTTAAAGTGTCTAGCAGGAAATAACAGAGTACTACACAGCAGAAGAGTTGGGTTAAGGGTTGTGGGGGGGCAGTAGCTAAAGTGATGCCTAAATGAGAAGGAGAATGCTGATAATGGCTTTCCTCACCTTGCTTTGTGGGTGTTGAGGGCTGTCGGTATCCACACATGCGTCCCCCGTGCGTACCGCTTCGCCTTCCAGAAATGGCAGCTCCCATTTCCTCTGCTTCAAGGCCCTAATTAACCACACACAGGATGGGAGAGGGGGGGCAGTGAGAGATTTCAAAGAGCTCAGCGTTTAGATTCTCAAAGCTGAGCTCATTAGAAACTGTAATGACACAACTGGAGAATGCCAAGTGTGCGCCTTATCTCCTCCTCACTACTGATCGGAGGGAAAAACGGCCATCATTACTTCGCCAGTTCATGGTCATTCCCAGGCCTTTTGTCAGCAGCCAGATTATTACGCTGTGCGTGCGTAAAAAAAAAAAAAAGATGTTCTCCGTCTCTACTGACTTCAACACTGCAAAAAGGCAAAACTTTAACAAGTATCTTTATTCTACTTCGAGTGTAAATATCTTACTACTCCTGAAATAACAGAAAAGTAACTTTTCTTCAAGAAATATGAGCTTGTTTTCACTAAATAATTTATTAATATTGATTATTTATAACTAGTTATCAGCAGAGATGCAGCGATCTAATATTAATATCTGTATTGGTCACGATATTGCAGTAAATTCTAGATTGTGTATCGATTCAGTCTAATTCTACTCCCGGTTCTCTGATTGACGTCATTCTTTATCATTTAATTTACATTATATTTAAAACTCTTTATTGCACTTTAAGATACTGTGTGTAACAGTATCTGACGTCTTCTGTTCTCAAAACCTTCCTCATTTAATCTCAGCGGCAGATATTTAATTTTGGTCGGCATGGCAACGCGGCAGCATTGTTTCTGCTGTTGGAGGCGATAAGACACAGGTGAGCGGTCTGGCTCCAGGTCGCTCTGTGCGCTGCCTTTGCGTAGCGTTGGGGAGTGGAGGCTGATAACCGAGGTATTTAAACAGGGCGGAGGTTTTCGCTGCTCCGTCCGTCTGTGGGAGGAAGCCCAGCACCGAGGCGATAAAGTAGTCCCTCATTAAAAACCATCACGCCAGACCATGATCTGCTTCCCTCAACATTTCATTGGCTGTTTATTAACCAGAACTTTAACAGTCTGGCTGCGTTTTTCTCCTCATGGAGGCTTCATGTAGTTTTGACAGAAGTTTCTCTGAAAACTCTGGTCAGTCTGATTTGATTCCTTTAGAAACACAAAACATTTTGAAACGTGTCTGACATTAAATCCATTGACTCAAGTCTGATGTCTGCATCCATCACTCAGAAAGGCTACGACATAAACCCGCTCATTACAGAACAAAAGTTTTCTAAACTGAAACTCTGCAGATTCAGTTTGCTGCTTATTTTGGCCCAATTTTTAAAAACCATAAAATGTTATTGAGGATTTACAGAAGACCTTTCTACAGTAGGATGGATGGATTGGATGGATGGATGGATGGATGGATGGATTGATTTGCCAGGCCGGTAGATGGATTGGTTGATGGATGGGTAGAACAGACCTGAGCCCTTCGTCTTGGCTCTGGTCTGACAGACATTTTGAACTTTTAGTTGTAATCGTGTAGAACCATTTTTAAACTCGTTTCTTTTCCTTCAGGTGGTGCCACCAGACACGGCAGCCAACTACAGCAACCTGACCTTTGACGAGGTCGTCCAGGAACTCATCAAGCAGAAGGAAGTGGTCCGGAAGAAAGACGCGCACATCCGGGAGCTGGAAGACTACATCGACAACCTGCTGGTCCGCGTCATGGAGGAGACGCCTAGCATCCTACGGACTCCCTACGTGCCCAAAAAGAAGGCCGGTAAACTCTCAAAAAAGAAGAACTAAAAGAAACACTAGATGAAAAGTCACTAATAAATGTTCAGAAGGAGGTCAGGGGTCAAGGGTCGATCAAATTCAAGCAGCTTTACTTTAACTTCCTGTTTTAATTTAAAGGTCGGGGTTGCTTTTAATATTTGTTGCTTTACTGAAAGACAAACGATTCATTGATGTTTCAAGTCAAGACGTTATCTTGAGCAGGTTTTGGTCTGGATTATTTTAAGCTCTGTCGTAATTTATTGCACATACACTTGCCATAATCGGCCGCAATGCTTCCAGACTTGTTTACCGGACGCGTTAGCTGCAGTTACGTTACAAATTAAGCTGTTTACAATCGATTTCAGACATTTTAGACCGGCAGCTCTGTCCTCTACAGATATTCCTAGACTGACTGGAAGATGTTTTCCCAAGAACAAATATTCATGTTTTTTAATGTTATGAGTTGGAGGGGTTAAAACTTTACTTACTATAAGTGCAATATAATCACTACGGAAACATGTTGCTTTACAACCTGCTGGTATTTCTCTTGTTTACATTTGAATCGTATGTTTGAGTTAAACTCGCCTCTTCCTGTTGATCTGATTGGTCGTTTCCTTCAAAGCTCTGCTGATGATTGTATTAATGGTACACAAGTGGCTCTATGCTGCACATATCTTTATTTATGCTGCACAATCCTTTATTTATTAGTGTTTTATAGCTCATATGAATGTTACTTTAATTGGTGAGACGTACTGTTAGTGCAAATCAAATATCATTTTTCCCAAGGTGTTCAAAATGAAGTGTTCTCTAAAAACGTCGTGACAGAAAAGATGTTGTTGGTTGCATCTTTATGATCACTCCTGATTTTGAAATGTTTGCTTCACTTTCTGGAAGTTGGTTTCTAAAACGGAGATCATCCAGAACTTCTGTAAGATAAACTGAAGTTACAAACTGATTGCTTAGTCGGTGAGATAAAGATTTTGCTTTCCAATTAAAACAGGACACAGGGCGATGATTCTTGTAAGAGTAACTTTTTTACTTCCGATACGATACCGATATTGGAGCTTTGAATTTCAGCTGATACCGATATTGATCCAAAGCAGCACAAATCACACATATAGGGTTCAAACTGGTGCTTGAAATTCATGGAAGTGCTTGAATTTCTATTCTGTGTTGTCAGGGTTTGGAAAGTCCTTGATTTCTTTTGTAAAATTCTTCAAAGTCTTCGGTCTGGTGCTGAAGTTATTCAAACTCCCCTGTTTTGTAATAAACATTACTTACAGTTGAAACCAGATATTCAAAGATAATTAAATGACAGATACACATTTTTCCTCGATGTCTGAAGTTAAATCAGACTAAACTTCTGTTGTTTTAGGTTAGTTAGAGTCATCAAAATTATTTCTATTTGCTAAATGCCAGAAAACTTAGCAAGAGCATTTTCTTTCCCAGGTGTATAGGGTGTGTGTGAGACATTTCAAACATAAAATTTTGTTTCTTTTTATTTTACCTTGACCCCACGGTAGGGTGTAGAATACTAGGACTTTCACCATAACAGTTTTTTGGATGATAAATTGTCCCAGAAATATTGGTGTTTTTAGGCCTATTTCAGGTAACATAATGGTAATAACTGTATAATAACACCAGAAAACATTCTCAAAGATTATTAAACAAATATCTAGAATAAACAAAACAACTAATAAAATTAATTATGAAGTCTGTAAACAAAATTGCCCTTCAGTTTTGTTTACACAGAAAAGCGCCAGACTGAAGACTCTTATCACCCAATTTTTCATAGAAAGAGAGAAAAACGATAAATCATTTCAGTGGAAATGAGTGAATTCGTTTTAATTTATCATGCGATTTACTGATTTATTGTGAAAAGCCTAGTTTGGATAGAAATTCCTTTTCAGAGACTGTTAGGAACATGACTGTATGTAAGTGGCTGTTTTGAAGCAACTGATTGAATTGCTCTTTGCCAGCCACATGAAGTCACATCAGTGGGTTGAGTAAGTGTGACAGCTATATAAACTTGTGTGGACAACAACGTTCCCACCAGAGTGAGAGACTCCCCTGATCATAAACCCTGTGAGCTAACAGAACTGTTAAACAACTAAAAAAAGAGCATATTATTCAATTGAATTTGAATTTGTTTACATAACATGTGCCTATCAGTTTGATATGTAATCAATTGATTGACGCTGGGAGATACATGAACTCATAACCATGATGTATGGGAGCTAAAAGCTTTATATTTATCTAACTGACATGCAAATTAATGTTAACACTTGTTATTTCTTCTGCTTTAAACATTAAAACACAGCAAACTTCCAAAATCAGAGTGAATTATTCTGAAATCTGATTGCCAGTGTTGCAGGTGCATCTGGTCCTAATGGGTTAACTCTGCCTTTACTGTGCCTCGTCTTAATCTGCTTTTTCTCTTGACATTCCTCAGACTTTTACACTTTGAGTCCTAACGGCTCATTTGTTCATAGCTCTTAAAGGTAGAAACACTTTTACTTGTCATTTAGTTCAGATTTAAAACTGTTCATTCATATTTTGATGTTTTAGCAGCTTTTTACCTCTCTGATGCTAAATAACATGGTTTATGTTATTTAAAGCAACTCTTTTTAACTCTGTTTCTAATTGAGAAGTGTGAAATATTTGTCTGTTTAGCGAGTGAAGCTGATGACACGGACAGACATTTCATAATTTTTTTTAAGATGAGGGTCTCTGACAGATTTACATCTTTAATCGAAATGTTGAGTGCATCTCTCATTTTTATTTTACTAGTCATGTTTTTTTCATTTTAAACATTCAACAACCTTTTACTCTAAAACTGATCGGACCACTTCCACTCAGAGTTACTAGAGAAAATTATTGTTTTTGCTGGATGGAAAAGACTAAAAGCAGAACACATTCGACCCAAACGTTGAGAGGCTGTTTATTTTTATTTTATTAAGGTTAAGATCTTTTCCGACCTACAGAAACAACATTATTTTCTCCTTTATCATCAACACGTTAAAGCACGTTAAATTTTTAACATTTTTTATGCAAGTTCTTAAGCAAAATTTACTTTTAATACCTAAAATAAGCTTGTAAGAGTAACTGACTTAAACTGTCCAGCCTGTCTTTCTTTCTTTTCAGTATTTATAGAAAAGATTCACCTCATTTTACAATGTCTTTTTTATTTCATAATAGAAGATTCTGTTCTAAAATTTTAAAATATATATAAATGTTATGTTAATTTGTTTTGTAGGTACATATTTAGTAAATCGTCTTTTGCTGTTAGTTTTATTTTTTTTTTAGAAAAGCTGCCAACTCCTGGATTAGATGGACAGCTGAAGGGGTGTGAATACTTTGAGGTTTTTTTTTTTGTTTGTTTTTCTTGTACTTTCATCTATTTCTTGTTGGTTTAAAGTGAACTGGTTGAAATGTTGGACCTTTACACTGTCGGCACAGCAAAAACGCAAAACTTTACCTAGTATTTTTGATTTAGCTTCTAGTGTAAATATTTTAGTACACGTGAAATACAAGAAAACAAACTAACAAGTAACCTTTCAGCAAAACGTAGGAGTTTAAGTCAGTAATTCCTGAATATTGATTAAAAGTACTGATTAAACTGGCAGATTATTTCAGTTATAGCATTTAAGAATAATCTGCCAGTGGATCTAGAACTGTTGTTGCTAGGCAACGGACTGGGCTTGGCTGGTGTTGCCAGGTAACGGCACATGGCCAGTTGATTGCGAAATAATCTGCCTTAAACAATATTAGGAATTATTCACTTAAAATAAGCTGTAACATTGAAAAGTTACTTGTTAGCTGTTTTTACTTCAAGTGTACTATGATATTTGCATTTCCAAAAATACTTGGTAAGATTTAGTGTTTCTGCAGTGTGAAGCCTCCTCACTGGGCAGATTATCCTCCAGTCCAAACATTTTACTGGTTTCCATTCACATATTACTTTCTGCTGCTGTGAAATCGCCGTTTTGCTGCTCTGTGATCGTTTTTTCCGACTCGAGGTCAAAATCTCCCTGTACTGAATGTATTCTGCTCTTCTTTTGTAAAGTGGAAACACTATGGAGGCCGTTGACCCGCTTGCCTTTAAAGTATTGGGTTCATCCTGTTCTCTCGCTAACGTCACGCCCTTCATTCAGGACTGTTAATGAATGAGCTTCTGCTGGAACTGATTTGTTTAGTTTTTTTCTGATGCCAAAAAATGTCGGAGTTGGTGTGTGAGTATGATGTGATGCTAATCTGCCTGCACGCTCTAGTTCAAACTGTAATTTTATTTAGTTCTCTTGTTGTTTTTTTTGCGTGTTCTCGGGCCTTTCTGAACTCTTGGTACTTCCATTGTACATATTGTGTAGATGATTTGTGACTTTTGGTCCTTACTGGGGATTTCTCTGTCTACTTGAGGACCACATTTCAAAATATGGGGGATGAAACTGACTTATAAGCAAAATGAATGCCTGTATGAATTTTTGTCAGACTAAACGTCGTGGTGATTGTGGAACAGGTTGTTTACCCGCACAATCTCCCCCCAAAGCCTGATTGCTTTGCTTTAATGACAGAATGTAAAAGAAAAGGTCTGACGACGTTTTAATGTAGAATAAATGTGGACCCTGAGGTTATTTAGTTCAAATGAAAGCTGAAGGAGGGGGGCGGCGGGGTGACTAGTTCAAATTAATTAATTTTGCCTGTCATTTCTTTGTTTTCCTTTAGCTTGATTATTGCATTTGCTTTATGCTTCTGCATAATTGGCTGCTTTTGTAGACGTCAAACTAAAACACAAATCTAAATGTCATTCATTTTATCACAGCGGATGTAGAGGATCCTCTCTGCAGGGAGACTGAGCTGCATCATGATTGTTGATTTATTTTATTCATTAAATGTTTTGTGGTTTATTAGGACCGCTAGTAGGGATGTGTAAAAAGCCTTAAAATAAATCAACAACTCTAGCTGGATGATAAATTGCCCCAGAAGTTATTCAAAATAACAACAATGTTGTTATTTTGAAACAATTTTAGTACAATATAATGCAAATTCACCCTCCCAAAGATAAATAAACTTTAATTTCCTAAAGAACAGTTAACTCTGGAGCTGGAAGATATTGTAGATATCCAAAGTAACACACAATAAAACAATAAATAAAACAAATAAACACCACACACAACCAAAACCACAAATAAAATTGATTTTGTCTTCCTTGTAAACAAACTTTCCCTTCAAAATTAATCAGCAGAATGTAAATTATCAAGCTCATTTTAATTTATCATGAAATTAATTGCTTATTACAACAGATAATAAGCAACAGATAATCTGTGCATAATCTCACAGATGAAAAAAAATCTAACTTTTAATCTGAGTACAGTTATTCTTGGCAAAATGATCAAATATCCAGCATTCCTAACAATTCCTAAATGGAACTGAAGCTTTTTTTATTTTATTTATACTTTGCTTTTTGAGGTTGACGTAATCTGTGACTTCCTGCTTCTCTGGGTGTAAATAAGTTTTTGAGTCTTTTTACACACATTTGTGACGGGTACCAATAAATATGAAGGGCGCTGTAGTTTTCAAATACACTAAGCACTGAAAATGTTTGGATGTTTCTGCTTAAAACTACCTTCTGTCATAAAAGATCAAAGTTAATCGCAATACTTGGTGGTGTTTATTGTGGGAAATGTTGTTGATGACAAAACTGCCCAGTTTCCCATGATTAAGTTCAGTATGCCAGTTACATTAAGGTGGAGTTAGGGGCTAACATTAGTTTTTTAATGGTACACTAGTAAAATATGGAGCTGAATGTCATTCCTGCATGTCTGTCACATGTTTTTGTATTTCACATCTGCCAGATTTTGTGTCTTTTCTTGGGCGTTAAGCCTTTATTTCCCCCAAACTGGGTTCATTTTTATCAAATGTCATCCAACCCAGGTGTAGTTGGTGAAACTCTGCAAGCTGGTTGGCAAGTTTGGAGGTAAATTAACCTCTTTTTAATTTATTTTTAAGAAAAACTTTTACTTTGTAACCAGTATGCAAGAGTTTCATCTGTGAACGTTTGAGGACAAGAATGTATTCCTCTTTGTAGAAAAACACGGAGCTGCTGGAAAACTCTGTATTGACAACCATGTCAGGCTGTTTCAGGTTATCTGTATGTAAAGTGCCATCAAAAGCATCCTTGAGAATCTGGTGATGTATGTCTTAATATTCACCATTTCTTCACGTGCTTTAGACCTCGTCACCGCCTGTTTCACAAGACTGTAAATGTTCTTTTCAATAAAGTCACTGGAAAGAAAATGTTGGCGTTTCCCATATATACAAGAAAGATATATATATGATTCTTAGGCATGAAAAGATTACAATTAATTGTTGATTAAAATTAGTTCCAATCAATTATCTAGTAACCACCGAGACCTTCGATGTTGTACTTTGGCTGCCGTCCAGCAGAGTGCGCCGCTGGTCATTCTGAAGCGGAATTTCCATTAAACAAAGATGGCGGCAGGAAAGAGAAACGGTCCAGAGAGAGTCCGGTTGGAGATGAACAATGCACCTTATGAGGTTTTGTTTAGAAGTGTAAAAACACAACGAGTTCCTTAAGTTATCAACTAAACAGTGTTTTATTCAGCCGAGCTTCAGGATGGAGCAATGCTGATTTCTATACCAAAAATTATTGATGTGCTACGAAGTTTAATAATGTGAATAAACCACAATTTCATGTTTATTCAGTTAGTATTTAATAAAGCTGACAAAATATGTGGAATTATGTTTTTTTTTTTATTTTATTTTGCATAATGTGAAAAATTTTGCCCTTTGTTACAAAAAGGGATAGGGTCTTGATGCAAGAGAAAACTAAAGTTTTTAAGAATATGGATATTTATTAATTGTTAATTGATCGATAAGATCAATCAACTTAGATTAACTCTCATTCAAAAAGTATAAGTTTTATAACGAGACATTTTTTCAACGTTTGAGTGACATAATCTGCCAGTGGAATTAGAACTGGGTTGCTAGGTAACGAGCTGGGCTTGGCTGGCGTTGCTAGGTAACGGCTCAGGGCCCAGAATTATCACTTTTTTCATCAGTCTGTTAAGGAACTATTGACCTAAAACAAGCTCATATTTTATGTTAAAAAGTTGCTTGTCAGTTGGTTTTGTCTTATTTCAAGTGTAATAAGATATTTGTTGTAGAAACTAAAACAAAAGTACTTGGTAAATGAACTAATCGAATGCAGAGACAGCTATTTATTAATATTTTAACAGTTTAATGGATTTTGTCATTAGATTCTGATACAGCGGGCCCTTTAAGGACATTTAGAAACTTGAAATGAAAACGAGTTTGACCTCCAGTGTCTCCCTGACAGAGACTGCTTGTAATTAGGGTTTTATTTAGGTGCCACCTGTTGAACTTGGGAGTCATCCTCACACGTCGACCGATTGGATTTCACAGCTCCCGTCTCCTTTACGGCAGCGGCGACGGCACGTGGCGCCTGAGGGCCTGCTGAGCTGATGCCCATTAGCTCATTGTGCATTATGTATCACCTTCCAGTAATCTGAGGAAATATCAAACAAACACGCTGTGTAAAATTGTGAGGGTACAAAAGAGACCACGCGTGCCAGAAAGGGCCGCCTACAGGTCGGCGGCGTGGCCCTTTAAATATGGATGGGCGTCGGGACGGGGATCGGTGTCACACCGCACGCGTCTGCAGCATCATGGAGAAACTCAGCAGATGGAGGAGGTGTTTGCAGGGAGGAAGGCAGGCCTGCTGGATGATCGAGGGCCAGATGTCAAGGTTAACCCTTCAGACTCCCAGGAGGGGCGGACCCCGCCCTCATCTGAGGCTTTGTTGGCTCATCTCTGGAGGTAAATCAGGTGTCAAACACGCCAACGTTGTCTTTTATTGATGCTATTGTCTGACTTTGATAGGTGCCACACGTCTGGTGAACAAAAAGCCAGATGACAGCCAGTAAAAGGAGAATCTGTCAACAGAGAAACAAAAAGGATACAGACAGACGTATTACAGCTAAAGCTAACTTTTTCTTTTCTTTCTCTTACATTTTTAAACATGTAAATTAAACATTATTTGTTCTAACTTTTAAAATTTGTAAGATGCTTAACTATTTTTAGCTGCTTATTGAGTAAAGTGATGCTTTTATGTGTGGCAGTGTATTCAGGGCATCATAGATACAAAAACATTTCTGTCAAAAAACCTTTGAATTTCTAAGCTCCAAAAATCAACATTTTAGTGTTTCAAGCCTTTTTTTTCACTTTGAAACTCAGAAATTACCAAATTTTTTTTCTAGGAAAATTCTGACATTGATCTCAAAATTTTGAGTTGGTTTTCTTAACAACTTAATTTTTTTCAAGCAAATTTTTGACTTTTGAAACTGAAATTTACATGTTTCTTCTAGAATATCACTGAAATTAATCAACTTTTTTTTAGTTTATAGCTAATTTTAAACTTCTGAAACTCAGAAACATAAAATTTTTAAATGTGATTTTAATTACATTTTATTTTATAAAATTTGCCCATTAAGATCAAATGTTTTATTTTGTTTTCAAACATTTTTATAGATATTACCTTCAGAGAGAAGAAACTGTTGTAAGACAACAACTTGTAAGCAGATATTAAACATTTTCGTATTAAAAATGTTTTTTTCTGTATTGTTTTGATATAATATTCTAATCTTAAATGGCTGCAAGCAGAAAAATCATAATTAAGAAATAAAGGTTTGGAAGAATCAGTTTGTGTTTAATTAATCTACGTTATGTGTTGTTTTTTGGTGTAATTAGTTGAAACATTCAATAGTATTCTGATTTATTGAAATGCCTTGTTTTATTTGTTGAGTTCTTCTTTAGTTTTAGGTTTTTTATTTTCTTAAATACTGAAATCCTGGAGGGATTTCAGTTGGTTTTACTTATTCAGTTTCATTCTTGATACTAATTTGTCTTTTATTAATGCAGGTTAGATTAGTCGAGATCCCAAATTCATCTTTTAGAGAGATCTGTTCACACAAACATGGATCACAGCTGATAAAATAAGACCAGTGATGAAGATGTGAACCATATGCACCATAAGCAACAGCAGATGTCCTCCTGCCACTTCCAAATAAAGGGAGAAATATGAATTCACTGTTTAATTTGCTGTTTTAAACCAAAACAAGCATGTCTGATCATGTAAATGAGTCTGACGAGACCTTAAAGAGAAACTCTCCCAGAAGTGTAAATCAGCACAGTGGTAAAAAGTTCCCGGATTTTCCCAGTCAGCTGGGTCTCAAATTATCAACATGTCCAAACCAAACGGGAACACGCAGTATAGATGAAGGAAAACATCAAACCAATCTGTTGTGAAAATAGAAATTACACAACAAAAGAAATGGAAGACAGATGGACAGAAGCAGGAGTCGACCGCTAAACGGAGGAAAACAAAGTTCCAGAAAGCTAAAGCGGCACAGTCATGATGATGGAACGAAAACTGGGGTTTAGTGACGAATCCTCAGCCTGCATAGCCAAGGAGAAGATGCTGGAGTGTTTGTTTATGGTGCCATTTAAAATAACTCAATGAGGAGATCACAGATCCACAAGTAATTGATTATTATTCCTATTTGGTGACAATGAAATCATTTTTTTACGGGTTGTAACACATTTGTCCACTAAGAATGTTAAAGGTTTTCTTCAAGACAGGCAGATCAGCTCAGTGGTGTGGCCAGAAAACAATCTGGATCTCAGTCCAGATGGAAATTTATGATGGAAACTAAATAAACATGGTGCGTTTAGAAAGACTTTATCCTACAGAGCTGATCTGTCAACTCCAATATGACAATGTTGTTTTTCCATCAGCAAAGTCCTCAACGAATCCAAGCCAGAGAAAGTGCAGGAGGGACTGGAATGGATTTTCAGCCATCCAAATTCCATATTTCTCCCTTAACTTGGTCTGAAAAAGATTTCAAAATAATGTGTCTGTAATATTTTTTTTATCGACAAAATAAGACTGGCTAAAACTGCCATGTTTAGCCAGTATAGTAGATTCCTGCCTATTTGAAACTCAGTATTCACAGATGAGCAGAAGATTTGCATATTTACGAGATTTTCTCCGAAAACGTAGCCTGGGAATCTGAAATACCTACGTGCAATGCTACTTAATGAATAGACTTTGGTAATTTCACCATAGGGAAATTCATTTGGTGTTTCAACCAAATATTTATATAGTCTCAAAATATTTGTGTGTGTGTATATATATATATATATATATATATATATATATATATATATATATATATATATACAGTTATATATAAATATATAGTTCATCTTCCATTGCCATATATATATACATATATACATATATATATGTAGATATATATAGATTTATATATATTTATAGAGAGAGAGACAGATATATTTAGAGGAAGATAGAGAGCTCTTTCTGTTCCACATTGTTTACATTTTCTTTCTCTAAATCTCCCTTTAATTAATAAATGTGGCTGTCTGATTTTCTGTTTCGTATTAGAAATAAAAATCTTACAGTGGATGAACACGAGTCCTGATGCTGTTGAACGTGGGGGAAGCCGGAGCGCCCGGCGTGAACCCACACCTGCACGGGGAGACATTTCCCCCATGCAGTCCTGACTTTTTAATATGTCCAATTAAAAACAACAGCAGCTCTTTTTCCAGTTCCCGCCAATCACCCAACCCACAGGTGGCTCCACCCCCTTTCAAATCTAATCTCCTGGAGACATAAGTTGGTTCTACGCTGGAGGGACTTCACGTCTGTCTTTGAACTGGCGCCCATGTTTTGGAGTTAAAGCTTTTTTGAATTGTCTCCACAGTGGGATCTTTTTCCTGGGTCTCTTCTTGTTCGCAGACATTCTTCTCCTGAGATGACTCTTCAGCTGCTTGAGTTTCTGGTTCCTGAGATGTTGTTGGGATTATATCTTCCTTTAATGTACTCTCTATCTGTGGAGGGGATGTTATTTGTTCTTTGTTTAGGCCACTCTCCCCTTCTGTGGAAACTTCATGAACCTTGTTTTGATCGGTCTCTATTGGTCTTACAACGGTTTCCAGTTCATCTTCCATTGCCGTCTTTCTCTGTTCAGATTCAGATTTAGTCATTTTGTCATCTTGCTGGTTCCCATCTTGCTGTATTTCAGGGACCATTTCATCTTCAGTCGCCTGCTCTAGTTTATCAATCACCGTTTCATTTCTCTGGATGTCAGTTTTCATGATTGGCTGTCTGATCGTCAACTATAACTTCTTGTTCACCATTTAATCCAGAAAACTTTTTTTTATTG